CTGAACCCCGCGCGGCCCCCCCTGACGCTCCCCCCGCAGCACCGCGCTCTGCGTCCGGCGCAAGAACAGCCGCCCGCGGGTTCGCGAGATCAGCTGATTCACGGGGGGCGGGAACTTCGGACAGGGGCGTGGCCGCAGGGCAGAGAACGAGTGTGAGGGCGGGCGGGCGTGCTCTCGGAGGGGCGGGGTTAGACCGGGAGACCGCGGACGGCACCTGGTAGGGGTCAAACTTAGTGAAGATGCATTAGGCACTGCAGGAGGCGTTCTCAGGAGCACTGCTCCTCCCTAAGACCGGGGCGGAGCCACCAGTGCTAAGAGGCGCTTCGGCGATGACGTAACATGGAGTCGTCGGGGCCTAGCTACCCGAGCGCTTCCATGGTAACAGGCGGTGGTGAGGATGGTTGGGATATACAGTCGTTTTGTTACCCAAACTACAAGAGCAGGAAGTATGACAGTGAACTGTCTTTCAAACTGCCTTTATAGACTGTGTCTTGGTGGTCGCTTCCCGCCTCCGCGAATGACGTCATTGCCACGTGGTTTGCCTTAGTATTGTTTTTGCTACTTGGTTATAACCCCAAAGGATAGAGTGAGCTGGAGTTAAATGAATTGGCGTCCTCTTATGATTCCCACAGGGCTCCCGTATATACAGCTGGGTAAAATAAGTTTGCTTGCCCTGCACAGTTTCACAACGGTCTGTTTGTTGCAGCCTAAGTCCCACCCCCACCCAGCCCGCAACCCCAAGTCCTCGGGTGAAGATTTTCCAGAGCTTCCAGTGAGTGCGAACTCGACCGCTAGGCAGTGTGTGGTCGCTGAGCCTGCAAACCCGTATTTGGACCATTAACGGCAGGGTCTGAAGCTCCGTCTATAAATAATCTATTACGTTATCCAGCACTGTCAACTGTTGATAAATTGCCTCCCAAATCTTCAGCCCACCTACTAAACTTTTTCTCCAGCAGTTTGGCCAGCCTTGTCCGCTCCTGAACCAGTGCAGAAAATCACACAACTGTGAGAACTGGCACCATTGCAAACCAAAGGCATCAAACTATGGCTGGGACTTCTGTGTGACCAGGCATTGCTGAGCCTAAGACAGCCACATTGCTGTTCAGGCTTTTTCCTAGTACCCTCCTGGGCTTTTCCCAACCTTTACACTCTTGAACCTTTTACTGAACTTCACCCACCCGCCTTCTTTGGTAAAAACAAAAATAAACACTATCTTCCACATTTCTGAGAAAAGTGAGACCACTAGAAATGAATTTCCTTAACTCCCACCAGGCACTATTACAAAACTTACTTTCAACCCTTCCTTTCCTTCTCCCCCTTTCTCCTTAGAAAAGGTGCTCTGTCCTCTTGCAGTTAACCCCTCCACCTAAACTCCACTTTCCAATCCCCTTAAAGATTTTGCTCCATTCTCCCTCTCTTCTCTTTCATGTATTTTCAAGCTGGCTTCTCTTCTTACCCCTACTCATCAGTGTATGAGCTTGCTCCTATCTATCCCAGCTTTGCTTTTTCCCCTCTGCGTTCTTCCCTTTGCAACCTAATTTTCTACCTATACATTCTGAGCTCCCAGTCTGCCTCATGCCAATCTGTAACCTCTGTTTTTTTCAAGGCTACTGAAATTGGTAGTTATCTCCGAATTTTGGAACCTACTGTCATGGGATGGAACCATTCTGTGCATTTTTTTAAAAGAAAGTGGATGATCTATATGTACTGATACAGTATGATCAGGAAGTTAGCTTGTTAAGAGAAAAAAAAAAAAAAAACACCTAGATGCCGAGTCATGTGTATAGTATTGTACCTATGGAGTTAAATGCATACGTTCTTTCGAGAGAGAGAGGTAGGTTCATATACAAATACATAAATAGGACATATATTCTTATCTTTGCATATGCTTATATTAACTTTGAAAGGTGACATTAAAGATTGGCTGCCACTGGGGAGAGGAATTGGGAACAAGAGAGGGAGAAAAACTAACTTTTTACTCTGCCATTTTGTACTACTTGAATTTTTAATCATGTGCCTTTTTTTCTTAATTATTTTTAAAACTTTATTTTTAATTTGCCATAGGGCACGTGCACTTACTGGAAAGAGAGAGAGAGGGACACACTGAGAGGCCAGACATGTGAACAAAGCTTTCTGGGACCTTCCAGGACAGCCCAGTCACCAACTGAGCAATGCAGCTGAGCAAATGACACCAGCTAATGCCAAATGGAGCAGAAGAACAGCCTGGTCAAGCTCTTCCTGAATTCCTGACCCAAATTCCTGAGAAATAAGTTGTTACTTTCAACCACTGTATTTGGGATGACTGGTTACACAGCTGTGACTGAAACAAGTGGGAAGGGTAACAAATAAACAGATCTACAGCATGGTAGTGACCAGGGCCATCAGGAGGCAGAACCATGCAGTAGGTAAAAGCATACACTGGAGGTAAGTAGCCTGTGTTCATATTTCAGTCCCAGCACTTACTAGCTTTGTGACCTTGGCACAAGTTTAACTTCTATGTACCTAGGCTTCCTCTTCCATAAAACAGGACAATTTTCCCATTTTATGGGGTGATGTGAGTACTGAATGACCTAATGTGTGTAAAATGCTTTGAGTGGTACCTGTCACATAATAAATGCTGTATGTGTTGTTATCTTCATCATCTCCATCATCCTCAAGAACAATAAAGGGAAGAGAATAGAAGGAGAAGAATAGAATTTCATTTAAGTGGGCAAGGAAAGTCTGACTTTTAAGAAGATCTTTGAATGGAGTCCCGTAAAGAAGTGAGGACCTGAACCATGTGGCTATCTGGTATTCCAGGCAAAGAGAACCAGTAACTTCAAACACAAGGACAGCAGTCCTGCTGGTGCAAATGAGAAAAGGTTGAAACAGGCTGAATGAGGCTGGAGCTGAATGAGAAAATGATAGAAAGATAGGAGAGAAGATTATATCAGGCGGATCATGTATATTTCAAAATAGCTAGAAGGAATGATCTCAGTGATTTACAATGTGAAGTAATGATTAGTGTTTAAGATGATGAATGTGTTTATTGCCCTGATGTGATCATTACACATCGTATGCCTGTATTGAAAAATCACACGGCACCCCATAAATATGTACAACTATTTGGAATCATTTAAAAAATACGATTAGGCATGCCAGTCACGGATAAAATGGGTAAGATAGCTGAATACCATGGGAGTGACTGTGGTCTGAGTCTCAGACCCAGCAACTTGAAAAACATACCAGGGGCATGCACATGTGTGTCCAAAATAGAAAAGGAGGAGAAAGGATTACAGCATGACCATGCCCCATGAAAGATGCTTTCTCACTCCTTCCCCTTTCTCTCCCCACCTCTTATGAATGTATGTACTCTAATGGCAAATGTTAAAATAAATACATAAATTTAAAAAAATCAGAGAGATAATGATCTGATGGAGGGATCAAATCATTTGGACCATGGAAAGGATTGGGTTTATCTGAATGATATGGACAGCGTCTGGAGGACTTCGAACAGAAGGTGTTGTAATTTGGCTTCCCTGTGTTTTTTCTTTAGGTTTTTGCCATTGGGTGCATGTGCTCAGCAGAGAGAGACAAAAGAAAAGTAGAAAATCACCCACTTTTGTGGCCATGCCATAATTCCCTCTCCTCCATTCTCCTCCTGGAATTTTGGGCATGAATGCACATGCACCTGGTGTGATTTTTTCAAGCCACTGGATTCAGGATTCAAACCGCAGTCAGCCATGTGGGAGTCTAGCATCTTCACCATGCCACCTGCTGGCCCCCTGTCTTCTTTTTTTAGAAGCAATACTCTTTTGTTATGTGGAGAGTGGAAAACAGCGGATAGAAGTACAAAAGAGCATGAGAGAGGGTCCAGACAGTACGTGCAGTAAAACGTGATGCTCTATGAAGACAATTTATTTCCTTCTTTCTTCCATGAGACAGATATAGAGAGATAGCATTCCCAACTGGATCTGGACACCACAATCTACCCTGAACTTCAGTCAGCCCTAATCTTGTACAAACGTGAGCATGGTGTGCTCAGGGAGGCCTCCAGATGCAAACTCAAAACATTACCAGGTAGGTAAGCCTCACAGGGCATGGGGTTTTACTGCTGCACCACCATCATCCAGTCTCCCCATGTGTACGTGATAGAGTATGTGCATGCACACATGAGAGAGAGTTCAGTGTAAATAGACAGTTCGACTTGAGTTACTCTCTGGAGGTAGAATGATATGACTATTAATGAATTATAATTAGATTTTATTTGTAGGTTGCCTGGTTTTATTTTTTGAGCAACTGAGTGATGGGATTTTTATTTTCTGAATGAAAAAAAAAAAAGAAAAAGAAAAGAAGAAACCTAAGGAAGAGCACCTTACCATGGATCAAGAGGTTTGTTTTTTTTAAACAGTTTTTTTGTTTGTTTGTTTGTTTTGGAGAGGTTTTTGCCACAGGGCGCGTGCGCTCCTGAGTTTTAAGCCACTGCGTCCAGGACGTGAACCACGGTCGACTACATGGGAGTCCAGCAACATAGCCATTATGCTAACTGCTGGTCCCAAGAGGTTTGTTTTTGACATACTAACTTTGAGATAATTTTCAGAAAGTCACATGGAAATGTCAAATTGGCAGTTGGTGCTCTAGGGAGAAGTTAGTACTGGACTTAGAGATTTGAGACTTATTTGTATACAGAATTTACAAATTGGGCACATGTGCATGCATGCCCTAAATCCCAAATTTGTATGCAGGTGCCATTCAAGGTCAAGGCACTAGATGAAATTACCTAGCAGGAGAATGTATATAATGCTGAGCACATGTGCGTGCATGCCCTAAATCCTAAGAGGAGAATGGAGGAG